TATCCCTAGTCGCACTTTATGATAATACGGACGTCATAACGTATCAAGACTAGTACGTACGAGATGAGATAGTTGCGTCTCATAGACTATAGGTATTGTGATATCTTAATCTGTACGTAGGTGCATATTATATCGATAATATGTGACTGGATTGACCCATCTTGAGAATACTGCATGGATCTACAGTAATGTGTTTATCAGTATTCTCAAATCGACCTTGCTATAACTATCCTCAGACTTGAAGTTATTACATTCTCTGATATGTGGGAGCCGTATCAGTTATGCGTTGGGTATGCCGCTAAGCATATTTAGAGATGTGAATAACAGATACAGGATCTGTCCCTTCTACTGTATAGAAGTATAATGTTAATGGGCCCACTGAATAGTAGGACTTGGGAAAGTGCATGGCCATGCCCAGATATGTCGCTATCTAGAGACTGATAAATATCTGATCCCTGCCAGTCTACTTGAGATTCAGTAACAGCTGATTTAACTATACAAGGATACACATCCCATGCCTTGTGTTAAATCATGACATTTAGGACAGAAGGATAATAGTTATAGAACGTCTTGTGTCGTAGAAGGTATTGATGAGATGNAGATACAAGTTTTGTCACATGTAATTGCTCCCCTAACATTTTTGGGAAGAGAAGTGAATGATAAATAGTCGGAAAACAGATTGTTTTTGAGTGCATATTTTGCCAGATTATGTGCCGCTGTGTTTTCTTCTCTGTATATGTGGCTGGCATTCCCATGTCTTGCTTGTAGAATTGTCTTTATGTTGAAGCTGACTGTATCTTCTCTATTTTTCGCATTAATTCTATTTATTCCATTTTTGGAGTCCATGCAGAGATTTATTTGTCCATGAAGAATTTTTGTGGCCCATTGTAGGCCCAATAGTCCATCTTCCAGTTCTCCTTCTTCTGCGTTGGTCTTCTGTTGAAGCATCCTTGCCATACCTTCAATGAAGTCTCCGTTGGTTGTTCGTTGGATTGCACTGCCCACCATTATTCCATTGCCTACTGCCACATCCGTGTTCACTGTGGTGTTAGTAGCTTGCCATTTGAAGATTTGAACGGCTGGTGTATGTGCAATTGGATATTCAAAGGTTAGAGAAAATTTCCCTTTTCCTTTTCCAATAGTCCACTCGATTAGTTTGTTCCAAATAATCTGAATGATCTGAGTTGTTGTTTTTTATTCTTCTTGATGCTTTCTGCGATTTCTTTCCTTCCAGATTTCAAAAGCTATGATTCCAGGAGCAATTTTCTTCTGTGGATTGTTGCTTGTAGTGTGATCTTGCCACGAGGTCATCAGGTACGCACAAATCCCATGTGTATTACTTCTAGGGATTTTGAAATGTTCTTCAAAATGTGCCCAAACTTGTTTTCTGTAGCTGCATTGCTTGAGTGTGTGATTTTGATCATCACAGTTGTTCCTGCACAGAAAACAAATAGAGGGCAGAGTAACTGCAAATCTTGTGAGATTGTTAGTGAAAGGTAGAATATTTTTGTATGTCTTCCAAAAAAAGAGAGAAATCTTAGGATACTGTTTAGTATTCCAAGAGTATTTTAGAAAGTTTTGAGTAGGATGATTCTCTCTCAAGGCATTGTAAGCTCTCTTTAGGCTGAAGCTGGTTTGACCATCATCCCAGGATGGTTGGTTGTCAAAGTCAATATTGATGATGGTGTTGACTTTGTCATGAATGTGGTGTAATCTCTTCCAAGTTGGTGAGTCAATGAGTTTGGGAGGGTTGTTGAAACTGTTAGGGTATCTATGATGCATGAAATTTGCCCAGAGAGAGTTATTATTCATGTAGCTCCACCACATTTTGATCCCATAAGACATCTGTAGGTTATCAAGGTTAGGAATATTGAGTCCCCCTTCATCTTTGGGTCTGCAAATGTCCTTCCAAGAGCTCCAGTGGTAGTTTTGGTGTTCATTTTTGGATCCCAGAGAAAATTGCTCATTTTCTGATGTAGGCAAGTGATGATACTTCTGGGTAGTTTAGTAGAGGCAAGTGTGTGTATGGGGATGGCACTAAGGACATGTTTGATAAGAACAAGCCTTCCACTCTGGGATAACAAGTGCTTGGTCCAACCTTGCAGCTTTTTATCAAAATGATTTAGGAGGTCATTGTAGTAGTTCTTCCTATTGATTCCTCTGTAGATTTGAGTGCCCAGGTATTTGAAAGGGAATTGGCCTCTTTGCATGTTGAGAATTTTCCCCATTTTTGTTGCATGAATTGTTGGTGTTTTGCCTGGGGTAAAGAATGAGCTTTTGTGTAAGTTGATCTTCTGTCTAGCAGCTCTTTCATATTCTCTCAAAAAGTTGGTGATCTTGGCTAGGTTATTGGCAGCACCATTAGTGAAAATCAGTAGGTCATCAGCAAATGCTAAGTGTGTAATAGGCATGTGTGTCTGCCTAACTTGTAAAGGCTTAGATTCCCCTTATCTGTTTCCTGTTTTATGGTTCAGCTGAAACTTTCTGCTGAAAGGATGAAAAGAAGAGGAGAAAGAGGGTCTCCTTGTTTGAGACCTCTTTTGGGTTGGAAGTTCTTGCTAGGATATCCATTAATCAGGATGGAATGTGTAATTTATTTGAGGTTATTGAGGATTAAGGTGATGAACCTCTCTGAGAACCCAAATTTCCTCAAAATCATCTCTAAGAAATCCCAAGATACTCTATCAAAAGCCTTAGACATATCCAGTTTAATAGCAAGGTTTCCCCCTCTTGTCTTGTAGTTGATCCCATGAATAAATTCTTGGGCTGTCAGGATTTGATCATGTATTTGTCTATCTTTGATGAAACCTCCTTGTTCTGGGGAGATAAGGTTTGGCAGAAGTTTAACCAATATATATATGTAGCGCCGATATATATATATATATATATATATATATATATATATATATATATATATATATATATAAATATATATATATATATATA